GCACGCCAACCGCCGGACCCAACATGCGGCCGAAACTGCTAGGCCCGACGACATAACATTCATACTCTTACGCGGGTAGCAACAGCAGTAGCTTTTACCATTGCATTTACGATATCGGCCCCGAACCAAATTGCTTATGCTTATGCACTTTTTCTGTGCCTGATTTTCTTGCTTTCACAGAAACTACGGGTCATCCGGGCCTTTGTAAAAAAAGGCGATCCTTGACAAACGAAAACAAAGTGATTCTCTGTGGCCATAGTTCGGGTGCTAGGAAGCTACTGGACAACTCCCGTTTACGGGCTTTGCTGGGAGCTGCTGCACGGCGCAACTCTGTGCATTAAAGCACGCTCCTTCCGAGAACGCCCTGTGTCTTTAGGACCCTTGATCAACTTTTGAAACGCTTGCTATGCGATCTTTATGATTGATGTATCAGCCTTGAGCACTGCGCCGCACTGTAGAGAGCTTGCTTTCTCTGTCTAAGTGGCCTGCGGTCCAGCATTTCAATCAGAGATCCCAATCAAAGAGTTAGATAACCTCGACCAACCCAATAAGGTAAGAGCCTGTGCTAGCTTGGACATTTGCCACGACTGGGGTCCCCTTGGCATCACCGAAATGGAGTCAGCATCTCCGAACAGAGGTCCCTTCTGGGAGCTCTGTCATGAATGAGTTGGGGGTGTATATTGGAGCTCGAAGATCAAAATTAGAAAAGCTGGGGGCGTTAATCAGGGTCACCCCTAAACCCCAAACTCTAAAAACTAAAACCTAAACCGTGAAAAACCCTCGTGGAGAATCCCACGTCCCTGCTAGCTGGGCCTCCTCGCGGAGCCGCGAAAGGAGGGCGGCGTACCTGGGATTCATGCTCTCCAACTACAGTGTGGTATCCAAAAGAGACGAATTCCTCTTTTGGGCTATAATGAATAGCGCAGACGATCTCCTTTACATTCTAGTAAAACCATTGCTTCTTCTGAGGGACCGGTCGTACGTGGTTCATCAAGAGCCCGAGAGTTCCGTCACATTCGGGGGATACTTATAAGGAAAGGCACGCCTTCCTGTCCGAACTCTCTCTTGGCCTAGAACCTGGCCCCGAACCCGTGCATCCCGTGAAGCCGTCCACCTTCAAGCAACATCAAGCAACCATACTAGAGCCCTTAACCCGCACCCCATCTACCCCACCCTAAGCAATTCTGCATGGGCGCATGCTCTCCAACACCGTTTCCTGACCGTTCCCACCAAACTGGCGTGCCCGAAAAATACTTCAAACATCTTCAAAATAGCTGCATGCTGACGCCCTTAACAAACCCCTCAACAGATTGCGGCCTACTTGGCTGACACGTTCCACGCCTCGTGAACAGTGGTCGCACTACCAGTATGCAGCCCGTCCCCGTGCAGGGGTAACCAAACTATTCACCCTGAAGGACATGCCCTCCCCCAGTGAAGATGAGGGCTTGCGTGAACAGGACTTTGCGGAGACCCCAAGCCATTGCAAGATGGTGAGTACTCGATTAGCAAATACTGAGACGACTACTAAGAGAAGTAGTACTACTAAATATCCAAATTCTTCTCATGACTAGGATATATGAGGATGATAGCCTGGCACCGGGGTGACCCGGTCCTGGCTTTGTCCTAAGTCTTAACTACTAGATACATGGCCAACCCTTCCTTCAGTCCTTGCTTTTTTTCCGAACGTTGGCTGAAGCTGACCTAATCCGTCAAAAAAACGCAGGACCAAGAAGCCAAAATTGCACTGGGAGATCCCTAAGCCCTGAATTTTAATCAGCCCTGTACCATACATGTTCAGAACCCCCTCCATAACCTGTAGAAACCCCAAACCCCGCATCTGTAACCCTAGCCCCGATCCTGAAAAATGATCTTCATAGAGCCCCTAGAAGGACCTCCATGATCCCCTTGCCAAACCCATGTACCCCTAAGGCCCAAGGCACACCTCTCTTGAGAATTCCTGAAATGCATGAGGAGCGACGCTGACCTCTCTTGCTCCTCTGAGCAGAACCCAAACTCAGTGCAGCTGCCCTTGGACCACATGTCCCAGTTGGACCTGACTTCGGGCTAGGGTTTGGGGATAAAGTTGTGGGGTTTTGGATTCCTTTCCTGGCGGAAGATACGGGGCCCAATTGCTTCGAACATGTAGGCCTCTATAGTCATGAATGACTAAACATGTACCCTCTGTGCTTGACTGTCACCGATTCAGGAGTTCTGGATGCTGCATGCCCATTCAAACACCAAGTAGCGCGCAGCGTACGTGGCTATGGCTCGCTACATAAACTATCCGGCACAACAAACCCTGAACCCCAAACCCTAAACCCCTCAAACCCCAAACCTTAATCCAAAAAACGCCCTTCTCTGCGGAGATTTGCGACTCCAGCGGCTGTGTTCCAATCATTGCTGTGGAGAGGTGCTGGTCGCGAGCCTCCAGCTACCTGGAAGCTTCTCTCAAAACGATGGGCCTCTTTTAATTACAAGTCCACAGTGCAAAACTGTGAGTTTCCACACAGAGAGAGAGAGAGAGAAAGATACATACTATATATATATATATGTATACATATGTCACCCCAGAGAGGGAGATACATATACATATATATATAATATAGTCACTGCCCCCCCAAGAAATACCTAGAAGCTGAGAAGACCGTAAACAGTGATGTTTTCTTTCATTTTGGCATACAGGGTCTTGAACATTCTTGAGTCGCTGAATGTAAAATACATTGTGTACAAATCGAACCAAACACCAAATATCAAAAACAAAAAACGAACCAACAAAACACAACCTTTGGGAAGATCTGGGCTCGGGGCAAAAGTTGTTGTTCATCTTGTTGTTGGTGTTTGGTTTCGCCTTGGCCTGCCTTTTGGCCAGTCTTTTTGGTAGGTAAACCAAAAACCACGAACTACAAAAATGATGTCCAAGTATGTTACTTTGAAAGACGTAAACAAAATCCAAAAGTCAAAAGTTTCCCCCCGAGCCCAAATCTCTAAAAACAGTTGTTTGCTGTCTTGTTGGTTTTTGGTTTGGTTTCAGTATTATATTGTTCTAGAGCAACTTTCTTCTTGAGTAAGCATACTGTTCTAGTAGTAGCTCTCTTCCCAACATGTGCAACATGACCACTGCACATTTTAGGAATATTATGAATACAAGTACTAGCGTGAACACCAGTACTACTGAGAATACGAATAATGCGAATGCCTAGACTAACACCAATAGTACTTGATATTGATATTCGTATTAAACGCATACTGATACTAATACTAATGATCGTGCACATCATTAGTACTATTACTATTTGATACTGATATTAATACTAGTAGCAGATTAATGGTATTAATACTGTTGTTCATTCTCTGTTACTCTCTTACTGTTGATACATGTATGTATCATGAATAATATCAGTAATAAGATTTCCATCAATATTGGGATTAATGCTCATACAAATGCTGAAGCTAATCGCTTTTACATATACCTATATTTCTATCACTGCTTGATACTAGTTCTATGCTGTTGCTCAAAGAAATGCGAATACAAATGCCAGACACAATAGTAAAGCTTATCCTTATCGATATTCATATTAATACTAATACTAATACGAGTACCCACAGTCATGCTCATATGCATGGTCATACTCAGGTTAAGAATATTCGCTATAGGAGTTAGTTCTGCTATAAACTAAAACTGATATTCATACGAAAACTAATACTCATACTAGATATAATACTACAGATATTTGCTATCATATATCTATAAGACGAACATTTTTGATAATAGTATCAACACTTCGCACTAACACGGATAAGAGGATGAATATTTGTATTCAGATCCATACGGACACTCGTACGAATACTGGTTCTATTTTGAGAATTGGCGTTAATCTTAAACTAATGCGAATACCAATACTAAGAAAATCTGAATATCTATATTCACGTTATCACTGGTTCGAATATCAACGCTAAGGCTGATCTTAATACTCGCATTAATACTGATAAGATTGCACATGTTACTGAAATTATCGATAGTTGGCTTTGATATTGATATTAATACACGACTAGCATCAATAGTAATAAGTATATGAACACTTGATGACACCACGAACAGTAATACTGTAGATACTTAAGTAAATAAATTACGTATATCATCAAGAATTTATCATGTTAATGCAACCAATACTGTTACCAATAGAGATTCCACAAATATTCCTACGAATACTAATAAGCATATTTACACGAATTCTCCGAATATGCTAATAATGCTGCTAATACTTGGTATTCATACCAGTACTAACTAATATTAATATTATCCTGGTACTTGCAACACCCCAGAAATTGAAAATACAAGTAATACCAGTAATAGTATTGATACTAATACTCATACCAATACGAATGCTTATATTAATCATACTACACAAAAAAACTCTTAGTACTTGATACTAGCATTAATGCTACCACTACTAATACTGGTATTCATATTCATATGCATATATCGATTAATACCAGTACGAATATTAGTTCTCATAATAATGCTGATATCGGATCTAATGCTCTCATGATCATACTGATAAGAAGACTAGTGTTGACAATCGTTCTAATACCAGTATTCATACTAAGGATATGTCCTTTCCCCGTCGCCCCATTCATCAAGCAGTTGTTAACCCAAAAGGTAGTTCGTGGAAGGGTGGTTGAGCATACATGGTCCCCCCCATGGTATGGTGTCGACACTTTTGGAGTCCGACTCTGTGTACAACAATTACAGGGATGGGCCAGTTTGGGGCACGATCCCGGGGGTTGTGGTAGATTTTGGTATTTGAACGGTTCTAATATCCCACCATGAATAGCTTATGTGTCCTTCCTTCTAAGACCCTCTACAAACCTCAGAAACACTGCATAGGAATGATCATACATTTCTATATCTACACATCTAAGAAAATCCTGTTTAATCTATGTAAGTATCTCTCATCCCACACCATATACACTTACAAATGGCCTACGTAATTCCTGAATTTGTGAGACTCCCACCTACCCAAACCTACAGGTGGGAGGCGAAGACCCAAAATCATGTTTCAATGCTTCTTCATCCCACCCAACCCCAACCACATCCAGACGGGGACGGCCGCCCCCAACCGCATCCACCACAAGGAAGGGAGGGTTCGCCCCAACCTCCCCCTTCAAGCGGACGGGGTCTAAGGGAGGATCTCCTTGGGCAGCACACGGGTTTGTTATAGCATGTTTAGGCAAGGGTGTAAGTTGCAAGCGACACTCGCCCTTAGACCCCTCCCTTGAAGATCCTCTAACATGTGTATAAACCTTACAGGCAGAGGTGGAATGCCAAACCGACTCTTCAGACACTGCGTTTGTGAGGGTTTAGGTTTTAGGGTTCTAGTCCCCCTTAAGTAGATTGAATATGGGGTATATGGGGATCTTATTATAATATACCCAAAGCCATATTCTAACTACTTAAGGGGGACTACACTCCCTTGAACTGAGCCATGAAGCCTGAATTCTCGAAGCCATGTTGTGAAGCAGGGGCTAACTGTATGCCGGGAGCCACAGAGAGAAACCCCAACTCCCAAACCCAGGCCTGAACCCGAAGTTCTCTTCTCACTCTTTCCGTTGTTAACTTCCTTTTCAAGTTGATATTCGACTTTCATTACCCCCTTCATATCAGCTACCGGAAAATACTTCCCTAGGCGAAAGCCTTCGGCTTGCTTGGAAGATCAACGCTCCGCAGCTAGAGCATCAAGCGAAGGACACGGGCGACTTGGGTCTGTGGGTTTCGTGGTGGTGGGTGGGGTTGGTGGGGAGTGCAAGATGTGGCTTGTTTTTTCATTGCGCTGCATGCGTGGCACTTTGAGACGTAGACTAATGCTCTGACGGGAACGTCAAAAGATGTTGACATGGCAGCTCCCAAGCGTCGTCATGTGGAGTCTTGCACACAGTTTTGATGCTGTAGCAGGGTCCGTGACTTTGAGTAGTCAAGTGGTACGGAATTCGACTGGAATCACCGGGCTGGGAGCTTCCTAACATAACCTGCTGCAGGCCCGATGCTGCGGGGTATTGCACAGAGCCTGCAGCTTGAGCAAACGTTGTCCATGGATCGCAGAACTCCACCTGATGTAGAGGGCTTAAATAGCAAGGAAAGAGGTCTGAGCTACTTAGCGCTACACTTGCAGAAGGGTTGCCAAGGGAAAAACATTGGCAACTATTGTCGCATCTACAATATGCGTGATTAGGGCCAACTTCGGATGTGGCTACAGAGTTCCTTTGCTGTACCACATATATATATAGATATATAAATATACATATACACACATATGTAGCTGTATCATAGAAAGCTGACGTGCAGAGCATGGTAAATGTTTATATCTGACCCGGAACCGCGTTTAGCAGCTGCTGGCTCCATAATACCGCCAGAAATCTCAAACTGTTCTCAGCGCGCGCCTTCAAGCATGGGGATTTCCATAAACGGGGGGCGGCCCAAGATAGACCGCAAAATGAGGATGACATATGGCAAGGACAGTCAACTGAGTTTTCTCTGCACCACTACCAGTTCAAAAGCATGATTGCTATCTTCGTAGAAAGAAGTATCCTGAAAAGAGCAAACACCCACCCGGTCATAGTTTAGTTCTGGCAACCACCCACTCTGAGCCCTTAACCCTATACCCCTATATAACCCTATAAAACTCTATACCCCTGTATAACCCCTAGATAACCCGTATATAACCCTAAACCCACATTTTCCCATGAGCTCTAAGTGCCCCGACATCGCACTCGTTCACGTTGCTGGTCTCGCTGCATACAAAGCCCTCACGCTTAAGCCCACAGTTTAATGGATTAGGGTGGTGTAATGGTTGAGGGGTGTAATGATTAAAGGCTTGAAGGTTGGGATTTAGGCTATAGGTGTAGGATCTAATATGTGCATTGCTGGTAATTATCAAGGTTTCCCTTGCCGTAGGCTTTAAGGTTTAAGCTTTGAGGCTTTGGGTCTTCTTTAGATCTACAAGTTTCAATGCGGTGCACAAGGTACCTCCCGGTACTATTGT